TTACTCAACAACTGGAAATCAAGCACAGGATGAACTCTGAATAACGCATAAAGAAGACCCAGACAGGTACGGTAACACAGGCAGCAAAACGCAGGGAGGTGCAGTTATTGCTCCGTCTAAATCCTCCTTTTGTCATGCTAACTAGAATGAGGAGAAATTGCTTTGGCATCCTTGCAAAAACCTGATTTGTTTGCCCTGCTACCACATGCCACTGAAAATATGAACCGTAAATCCAGGAAATGATCGGGGCTTTACAAAAAGGTTTGCATCAGCTACTGGGAATCAGGAAGGCTGGACTGCAAGGTAAAATTTGTCAAAGCTTAACAAGAGAGTCTGCCTTCTTCACTTGCGCAAGGGAGAGCAGGGTGCTTGCAGCCAGCAGACCTGGTGCAGTGAGGCCAAACGCCACGGTGCACGCTGGAGCTCACGCCGCAAAACCAGACACAGAAAGAGAAGGTCATTTCACCGAGAGAAGGTAATTTCACAAAGCAGGACTAAAAACCTAAGCTCCACAGTCCCAGCCAAAAACTAACCTGTACGCCACTTTCCCTCTGCTTTACTTTACATCATTCCCTCCTTCCAAAGGATGCTACCGTAATGGCAAGCTACCGCTGAAACATGTGATGTTGCCTGGGTGATTTGGACACTAGTCCAGTTCTAACGGGGCATCCAGAGCGACAATTCAGCTTTGAAAACCTCATCCTATATGAAGACCAACCTCTTTATAAATCACTAACGAAGAAGAAAAACCAGGAAACAAAAAAACAAACCAAAACTGATTTATCTGGTCTCTGGAAATTGAATACGGCAGCTGTTTTATCAGCAACAACACCTCCGCACAATATTGTCGGGGAACAAAACTGCATCCAATGAGTAGAGTGTCTGACTCAAGGCACTAGTAAAACTCCTTTACACCTTCCTTCTTACAGTAATAATTTTAATTGTTTCAATTATTTCCATCTAATCTCCTTGATAAATGTTTTGAAATTTAAACCCAGCCTGAGGTCCATACGTTATATTAAAAAAAAAAAGGGGGGGCGGGGAAGGCAAAAACAACAACAAGCTACACAGAATTAACAAGCTAAAAGAATTAACTGTAGCACAGGATTTTGGAGGCATCCAACACCCCTCCTGCTCCGCACTGCTGATTTCAAGGATTTCCAGCGCTAGGAAGAACATTTTTTTCTATGCACAACAGTCTGCTTGCAATGCTCTATTTATGCACTGGCATTATTAGTATTACTACTACTACTACTATTATTATTATGGAGCACACCATCGCCCTCTTACATGGTCATAAGCTGTGTGGATACATAGAAACCCTGTGCCCTGCCGGGGAGCTGGGAAGGGACGAAGAGCAGCTCTGAGCTCATCTCAGCACCGCACAAACCAAGGCGCAGGGAGCAGCTGGCCACTGGGTCAGTTTGCCATTAATCATCAGGAAACTTCAGCCCTCTCAGAAGGGTAAGCCCCAGAGCAAAGGAGTTCGTCACTGTGTGGAGACGCCATGAAGAAACTTGGGTCAAATTGAGATTTTTTTTTTTTTTTTTTTTTTTTTAAGGGGGGGGGGAAAAAGGGGGGTCCGTTTGATGGCGGCTTTATCTCCTGTGCAATTTTCTGCCTTACCATCCCTCTGAAAGAGCTATCAGGATCCTGACTTTTCCCTACTATCTTCTCTAGTTTCTCTTCCGTGGTTTGTTTTCCCTTCCTCTTTGCTTCGTCATGTGTCTGACTGGACCTGAACTCCTTCCATGGTCTCAGGAGAGACCTGTGAAGACATACAATCCTAGGCACAGAAGAGCTTTTTCAGCAAGACACATTCAACCTCAGAGAGAACATGCAGGATCCAGAATTACACCTGTCCATCCCTGAAACAACAGAAGCTTGAAAAGCTTCCAAAAATAGTTTGTCAAGTACCAGACGTGATTAAGCTATTCACCACTTCTGAAACTCGAGTTTTCCCT